AAGAATGAAGTAAAAAGTACCTGCACTTTCCTCTGTTATTTCCTTCGAAATTATCTCCCCGCTTATTTATGGTCTGAACCCTATTTTGATTTTAATTTTCTCCTAAGAGAACCTGTAAAATTAAAAGCCGTTCTAAAAATTTCCAGTCTCTTTGTGAGCATCATGAGCATCACTGACCACGCAGTTGATTTTCCCTAAGTGGAATCTTTGCCTCGCTAATCATAAGGGAGAAATAGTATCATCAAAAATTTGCATAAGGACATTAAACTCCCGAGCATGCCTTGAACTCATCTGGTGGCTTATAAGAGAGGCCTTGACGCGCATGTCCGTTAGTTGTTTCACACACCTAAAAGAAACTAATACTCATCATTAACATAAACTTTCTCACCAAATTCCATTATCATATGCCTAACAACTGTGAGCAAGCGGTTTAAAAGCTGGAACTCCAACTAAAAAAATAACGAGAATCCCACTCTTATCAACTTTCTTAAAAATCCATGAAAACAGTTTTTTCATTGTAACTGAAACCAAATGCTTTCGCTTACACACGATGTTGCCCAGAGTTTTTTAAAAAATCCTATGATGGTTTTTTAGATAAAGACCAAAAAGCGCATGTTTTTCAAAATTCTTTTTCAATGAACATGAGATGAGGATTATAACGGTCTTTCAAGACTGCATATCCCCTTGAAACAATTGGGATCTAACTAAGATATCTCCAAATCTTGGAGAAAGCCAGGATTTCGCTACAAAACTACAATAAAGAGAAAGCTTCTGGCGACGGGAACTTAATGCAGCGATCCGCAATTAAACCCCAAATACATATTTCGCAAGAAAACCCCCAATTTTTTTATCCATCAGAGCCCTCCAAAAAATTCTTAAAAACTATTTTTTATGAGAAGAAAAACCTTATCAAAGCTTGACAGACTCTGTAAGCTGGCCAAATATTGGTTAAATATTTTTGAACATGGCTTCAAGAAAAATTGTGGCACCTCCTCATCTTACGACCAAAAAACATAGAACTCAAGAGTGTTAAAATACTTTAACCCCAAAAATAAGCTTAAAAACTTGTGAAATAAACAGTGTTTAAAATTAATTTTAAGAAAACTTTGTGAAAAAACAACCTTAACAGTTTCAAGGGTTTGAACAAGCGTATTTTCAATGACCTGTTCAGCTTCACGAGGTATTCACTAAGCATTTTCACTAATTCAAACTTTAGTAGAAAAACAAGTTTTAAATTACGCACCTAAACTTAAAAGCACTACATAATTAATACCACTCTGTATAATTAAGAAAACAGATATAAGAACGTACTTCACACATTTTTCATGCCTCTCTTCGGCAGTTATATCGACTCCTATATGAGAAGTGTTTTGAGCATTCTCCCGTATGATGCTTCCGTAGCTGCTTATAGCAGTTCTTAATGCAGCCAAAGCAACCTGAAAGCATACCATCGTCAACTCTCATTTACAAGTTCCTCCGAGAGACTAAAGAAAAAAATTCTCGTTTAACTGTAACCTAAGCCTTTAAATTTTAAAAATTTTTCGAACAGGAAGTTGTTTATATACCTCCACATAACTTTCGTGCTTGCTTGCTACGAGCGAATCCAAATTAGCTAAAATCGAGCAGCAAACAGACAAGTTCCACAGAGAAGGAGTATGATTCAAGACTGAAAGTAGCTCAACATGTAAAGACGGATCACCAATCTTTGCTACTTCGACAACTGCACTTTCTAGCCCCTTGTTTCGCCAACACTGGCGCAGATTGTCAAAGGAAGCTCTCCTCTGTTCTAGTATCAATTCAACGTTCGAATGCCCTTGAAGAATTTCTTCAATCAGCGTGTCCTCACTCAACAACTCTGTTGTCTCAACATTCTCGCTTTTCGTCTGTCGTGGCTTATGATCCTAAATAAAAATACGGCAGTTTAAGAAGTTAAAACCTCTACAAAAAGGATCCCTACTGTTTTACAAAGCGAAAAATTCCCAGTATTCAAAAATAAGCTAAAAATTTAAAAAAAAAAAAAAAAAAA